TCCTAGGCCTTCCCATTCACTTACCACTCGCACACTAACTCACCCAGAGCAACTTCCAGTCCTGCAGGCTCTATTCATGATTAATGCCCTATACAGGTGTCCCATTTTTACAGGGTCAGGTCTTACATTTAAATCCATTTATTTAAAAATAAATGTATTTATATTTATTTAGAAATAAAATTTATTAAAATAATGGAATAATTAAAATAAATTCCAAATAAATTATTTTTGTGTGTAGTGTAAGATAAGGGTCTAATTTCATTATTTTGCATGTGGATATCCAATTTTCCCTATACCATTTGTTGAAGAGATTATCTTTTTCCTATTGTGTATCCAGAGTACCTGTGTCAGATTAGTTGGCCATATGTGTGAGGTTTATTTCTGGGCTCTTGATTCTGTTTCATTGGTTTATATGTCTGTCTGTTTTTATGCCAGTAGCATACTGTTTAAATTAGATTTTGAAAGCAGAAAGTGTGATGACTCTAGCTTTGTTCTTCTTTCTCAAGATTGTTTTGGCTATGGGGCCTTTTGTAGATCCATATGGATTTTTGGATTTTTTTTCTATTTCTGTAAAAAATGTCATTGAGATTTTGATAGGGATTGCATTGAATCTGTAGACTGCTTTGGGTAGTATAGACGTTTTAACTATATTAATTTAAGTCTAACAATCCACAAGCCCAGGATGTCTTTCTATTCATTTGTATTGTCTTCAGTTTCTTTAATTAATGTTACGTAGTTTTCAGTGTACATGTCTTTCACCTCTGCTTAAATTTATTCCTAAGTATTTTATTCTTTTTAATGTTATTGTAAATGGAATTATGGAATTATTTTCTTAATTTCCCTTCCAGATAGTTCATTGTTGGTGTATAGAAATGCAACTGATTTTTTTTTTCTTTTTTTTTTAGTCTTCGCCGTTGCTGCCGAGGCCTGGGCTGCGGGTCCCCAGGGCTGGGGCCGGGCCGCTGAGGCTACCTCGTGCGGCGCCGGAGTCCTCGGCCGCCGCCCCGCCGCGGCTTCAGCCTCCACGCAGTTGAGGGGCGCGCGGGCGCCTCAGTCGCCACGGTCCGGCCCTCCGTGTCCTTGCCAGGTTCCTCCATGCCATCCGCGGCCCGGCGCCCGCCATGATGATTGTGTCCACAATAATTTTTTAATGTTGATTTTGTATCCTGCAACTTACTGAAGTTTG